GTAAACATACAAAAAGAAGAGTGGGAAAGTGGGAATAAAAAAAATGTTTCAGCAGACTTTCTGAAAATCATAAGCTAAATACATTTGTCCTTTTAAATCTGACACAAAAAAAAACTTTAAACAAAAAGAAATCAAAAGTAAAAAAAACTTCTAAAATCTAAAAAAAAATCTTTGTGCATATGCACCAAAATAAAATATATGAAACAAAACTATATTAACACAAACTTAAATGTTCAATGTTAAATGTAAGAAAAAAAGTGAAATAATAATAATCAAAAGATGCATAAAATGCATAAAAAGATGCATGCACTGAGACAAAAATGAATTTGCCCACCTATCTAATAAATGTAGGGGAGATAGTGGATAACCCCAATTTCAAAAACGGTGTTCCTGACGACGTGACGCTGCGCTGTCTATTTTACTATTGGTTAAAGATCTCTAAAGGGTGTGGTTGGGGATATGCAAATACATAAGCAGTCCAACAACTGTTATCAGTTACACTGTACCCGTCAACTGAGGAAGACACAGAAAGGCAGCGGAGCTTTAACAGGCTGTTAAGAGCAAAATGGCTCTTCTCACTGTTTTGTGTTCAGCAGTTCTCCTCTGTGCTGTTGTTGTACCTGCCTGGGGCGGTGAGTCTGCTGTTATTTCGATTAGGATAAGATTGTTTCGTTCTTTAAAAACGAAAGTAAAACAAGCGTTGTAATTGATTGCAGTTTCTCAACACATTATTTCAAATATATTATCAGACTAACGTTACTAAAATGCGCAAAACTTTAACATGCCCATATGATTAAGTCTGTTTGGTGTCTGCGTGTGTCAGTAAAATGGCGCAGGTAAACAAGTCTATACTTTCGGTTCAGGAACCTTACTTCCTTGACAAAACAGTTTAAAAAAGTTTAAGAGTTAAATCATCTAGACTGATCTTCTGAACTAGTGTTAGGCCTAAAAAGGGTGAAATTTCTTTTTACCAGCGACTTGTCTTTTCAAATTTTAAAATCAATTTCGTAATTTATTATAGATTTAAGAGTTATTCGATCTGCGTCATGAATGCTTGCGGCGGCCACATTGTTGAAAGAGAAACCACGGAAACTGTCGGTCTGTTGCGTCTTTGCGTCGGTATTATCCATGGTATTATCACTGTTTTTATTTTTTTATTTATTTAAACAGCGTGATGGTGTTGTGTAATACACGACTGTTCTAACAACAGCAACAAGAACCCCTGAGTTAGTTTTTATGCCATATGTTACCGACTGATTTCACGCAGTCGTCATTTTAAAATGGCACCGGTTGGAAGAAAACCAGAAGTGCCTTTAATCATAGGAGAGTCGCGAATCCAATGGCGTATTGTTGTGTTTAATGTAGAAATTTGTTATTCTAAAAATGTACATACATATCTTTCATAGTTTAGACTATATACAGTGAATTTATTATAAATTTTATATATATTAAGAGCATAAAAAGGAAGCAGGAACGAACTATATGTACATATCCTACATTGGATATTAACATCTAATAGTTTAAATCGCGTTGCTTCAGGTTGGTAGTCCTAGGCATTGTTGTCTGTCTGTACTTCCGGGGTTCTTCCCACCGGAGCCTCGCTTTCGATTTCAAAATGGCAGGTGCGTGAAATCAACGTATAGGCTAGAATGACGTTTTTCAACAAACAAAACAAACCAGCATACTGTTACCGAATTGTTCCCCATATGAAACTGTTATTTCTGAATGTTCATTGAATACTTTAAGCGTCCGGACCGGTGGTGTTCATTTTATCTCACAAACAAAAAGTTAAGGAAATATTCCATTTTATAATTTTGCAAACATTATGGGAACGTTACTTTTTTAATTGTATATGGATATTTTGAAACTATAGGCTAACATTTAATAACATTAGATGAACGTGGAACTAAAATGTTTCAGATAAAACTTCCTTTATAGCCTATAATCTGGTTTGAATCATAATGCGAATTTGTTGGTCAACTGGGTGTTTTAGACACAATATTGGCAGTTACTGTGTCTATTTTTACTCCACAAAATAGTTCCAATATAGCCACAGGCAAATCATACATTGTCTCAGGATATTTTCATTGCTCCGAAGTCTTGCCAGATTCACACCAGTTTTTTAAACATAGTTTGAAGCTAATGTGACAAAATGTTGCTGATATTTTAGTCGCTTTACAAACGGCTCCACATAGCCTACCTTCCAGGTCAGTGTATTATCAATATGTAGGGGAGAAAGTACCATATTTCAGAAAAATATAATTTTAAAAGATGATGGTTTAGACGGATATATTTTTTGCGCTGGTCAGTCACTCACAAGTGTGGTCTATCAATACCAGGTGGTATTTTGTAAAAATGTAGAACAACTTCAGTATAATTTCACTTTGAACTTAAAGCAGCACGTTTGCAGCTTTTTCAACCTTTATAATATTTTTCCAAAACCCTTGAAATAGTACACTTGAAATAAAGCTTGCCACAAAGAACTGGCCAAAGTAATGATTATGCATGAAACATTTGTTGATAAAGTTGACGTCAATGACGTTCAAATGTTTCATGCATAATCATTACTTTCACCGGTTCTTTTTGGCAAGCTTTATTTCAGGTGTTGTGTGATATCTCTGCACCCAAGTAGCGGTGCTTTGCAAATGCAGTAGGTTTATTTTAGCCTACATTCACTGCATGTGTAAACTAAGCCCCTTTCACACAATGCGTTGATGAAATTGCCAGAATGCCTCCTGTGTGAACGCAAACACGACCCAGGATTGATACCGGCATTGATGCCAGGTTGGGGACCTAGTAACATTGCCGGAATCAGTCCTGGAACACGCGCTGTGTGAACAAAAGCCAGGACCAATGCCGTAAGGGGTGTGTCATAGTGATGACGCTCGTGCTATCGCGTGACTCTTAGAAGAAAGTTTGTGTTCGTCATCAACAAAGCAAGGACGCACAAATGTCTGCAAACTGGAACAAAGCAGAGACCAGGAGCTCCTCACTATCCATGCTAATGCTGAGATCGTTCACCAGCTTGTGGAACGGTATGCGCATGTACATGTTTTCGACGTGTACGTTACACATCTCATCCGGACGTCGTGTCTTTCCGGGATCTTTATGGGTTGAAAAACATTTGAAAACTTCATTTTGGTCTCGTGGACTTAGATTGCGTGTGCTCGCCGAGTGTAGGCCATCCCATTTAGCATTTTAACGCTCTGAAGTGTGCTCAGCAGCGCCCCCTTTGTACCCTTGAAGCGGTCTTCCTGGCTCCACGCACTTTAACTACCCAGGAATCCTTGTGAAATGCCAATCAGAAAACGGATGGGATTTCGGTCACGGCTGTAACTGTAAACAAGGCTGAGAAGAGAATAAGTATCATTATGGTTTTATGACATAGGCGTACATTTTACCAGTTGTTACTTGCAGTTTATACAAATATTATCGACCAGTGGTTGATATCTCAAACATAATAATAGCATGTTAAATAATACGATCGCATTATGATTCATTTGCATAAATAGAACCAAATGTCATGGCTTTACTGAGTCATAAACGTAGTATGAATATTGAAACCTATGCATTTTTCTTAAACTCATTTTTATTTGTGTTAAAATTGACCATTATGTATTATTAAGTACAACTGCATTATCATTTACAAAACCATGACATCTATTCTAATGCCCAGGTGGCTTATACAATTATAGAACTGTAAAAGCAGGCTGGCAGACATGGACATACGATTTGTGAAAATAAAAATAAATCCTGTTTTCGACACTAAAGACTATAATTTAATAACTATAACTATAATTAATGATATTTATGATAATTTTTCTAATAAAGAGACTGATGAGATGACCTGTTTATTCAGCTCCGTATGGAGAGGACAAGGATTTTTCCTCATGAAAAGACATCTTGCTAAAATGAAAGTGACAACAATATGCAGCATATCGGCCCGCAGCTCATGTCCAACAACAACAACCAGACCTTCTTTCTGTTTCCGGCGTGATGATCGAGTCTGTCCCAAAAATACCTCTCAATATGCGCCCTTGCGGGCTTCCGGTGTGCGACCCCCTTAAGACAATGCATGCATACCTACCTAAATGTAGGGGAGAGAGTGGATAACCCCAATTAAAAAAAAAACGGTGGAATGTTCCTTTAAAGGGATAGTTCACTTTGAAATTACTTTTTGATATGTTTTATCTTACCTCAAGGGCATCCAAGATGTAGGTGTCTTTGTTTCCACAGTATTTTCAATTTTGATATTTTTCAGTCAAACCGCTGTTGTCTATCAGTCATACACTGGAGGCTAATGGGGTCCACCAAAAAGCATGAAGTCAAAATTAAACATGATTTAATGACTCGTAAATGTAAGTACACATTGATGGCCTAAGACACGAAACGAGCGGTTTGTGTGAGAAAACGAACAGTATTTATATCGTTTTACCTCTTGTAATCATAGCCATGACAAAATGATCTGACGGCACGGGCGCTTCGGTCTGCGCATGCGCCGGAAGTGATCGCTTGCGCGCCTACGTCACTCTTTGTTTATACAGAGATTTCGGAAGTTTTACCTTTCACCAAACATATTTAGATATACGGGAAACCACAATGGAAGACGATTTCGGTATATCTAAATATGTTTAGTAAAAGGTAAAACTTCTGAAATCTCCGTGTAAATAATGAGTGACGTCACACGCAAGCGATCACTTCCGGCGTAACATTGAACTGATTCAGTTCGGTTCAGTTGGACATTGAACAACTGATTCAGATCACTTGAACGTCACTGTGATTACACGAGGTAAAAACGATATAAATACTGTTCGTTTTCTCACAAAAACCGCTCGTTTCATGTCTTAGGCCATGAATGTGTACTTACATTTACGAGTCATTAAATCATGTTTAATTTTGACTTCTCTGTGCATGCTTTTTGGTGGACCCCCTTAGCCTCCAGTGTATGACTGATAGACAACAGCGGTTTGACTGAAAAATGTCAAAATTGAAAATACTGTGGAAACAAAGACACCTACATCTTGGATGCCCTTGAGGTAAGCTAAAACATATCAAAAAGTAATTTCAAAGTGAACTGTCCCTTTAAGTGACGCTGCGCTGTCTGTTTTACTATTGGTTAAGATCTCTAAAGGGTGTGGAAATACATATTAACCAGTCCAACTGGTATCAGTTAAACTGCACCTGTCAGCTGAGGAAGACACAGAAAGGCAGCGGAGCTTTAACAGGCTTAAAAATGGCTCTTCTCACTGTTTTGTGTTCGGCAGTTCTCCTCTGTGCTGTTGTTGTACCTGCCTGGGGCGGTGAGTCTGCTGTTATTTCGATTAGGATAATACTTTGTTCTTAAAATGAAAGTAAAATTTTAAACATTTTATTACGGTTTCTCAACAAATTATTTAATATATATTATCAGACTACTAAAATGCGCAAAACTTTAATATGCCCATATGTTTAAGTCTGTTTAGGTGTCTAGGTGTGACAGTTAAAATGGCGCAGGTAAACAAGTCTATTGAAATACTTTCGGTTCAGGAACCTGTTGAGCTTCTTTGACATCAGTTTGTACTTTGTACACTTCATAAAAGTTTACGAGTTAAATCATCTCGACTGATCTTCTAAACTAGCCCTACTATAATAAGGGTGAAATGTTTTTTTGTTACCTGCGACAAATTTTAAACAACCTGTGACAAATTTTAAAATTTTAAAATAAATTTCGTAATTTATTTTATAGGCTAGTAGAATGACGTTTCACTAATTAAAACAAACCATATAGTGTTGACGAATTGTTCCCCATTAAGTTATGAAAATGTTATTTCTGAATGTTCATTGAATACTTAAAGCATCCGGTGGTGTTTATTTTATTTTATTTTTTTCTCAAAAAAAGGAAACATTTATGGGCCGCTGTTTGAAAATAACAGCAACATTTTGTCACATTATCTTCAAACTATGTTTAAAAAACTTTATGATGGTCACTTTTTAGCACATTTACATCTGTATTTGTCAACTTAAGAGATATTTTAAATGGTTAAATCTAAATATAAATGTTGAATCTAAATGTTTCGGGTGAAACTAAATATTTAGCAAATATGCAAATTAAAAATGGTGGTAACCGGAAGAACCAAAATAAAAGCTCAAGGAGGTCAGTATGCGTTTGTAGTGTCAAATAACAAATAAAAACCATCTCATCCGGGGAAATGCACTCTTGGACATGGATTATCGCGATAATAACTACCTAAAATAATAAACACGTTCAAGCCAGTTTTCTGCAAACTTAACCATCTTGTTCATGATAGTAGATCATTCTGATTTTAGAACAAATATCAGGCCTGTTTCAAAAGTTTGCCTAAAGCTGCTTTATTAAACAAATACAAGAATGAATTTAAGTACTGCAAATGTAAAACTGAACTTAATGGTGGCAAAATATGATCTTAAATAAAGGTAATTGAGACAATGTTGTTTTTTTTCTGTTTAGACAGGACTTTCATTGAGTTTAATGAATGTTTATGTACATAGGAATTTGTTTATGCATATGTATTTTTTATTTTTTAACAAACATGTATACTCATAAATTATATTTATACACGTACAAATGCATACTTTCAAGTGTAGCTTTTTTTATTTCTTATGTCTATGATCTTTGTATCTTGATTTTAATCAAATAATGTAAAATAATTAGTACTTTTAAGTATATTATGTAAATAAGTACTAAAATTATACATAAATAAATATAATTTACTTGCCTGGCTAAAAGTGGCATACAGCTCCGATTTACAGTTATTAGGGGCAGCTGACATCCTTTTTTATTGACTGGTGCGGTCAGCTGTCCATGGCAGCAACTTCCCTGCTGCCTAGCTGGCAATTTTTCGAGATGGTCCTCACTGCAGAACATGAAATCCACGGGGAGGAGTCGGATCCAGATCTAACTCCTCCCACCTTACATAGACCTTAACCTACCCAACTCCACCCCTCAGATCTGGATCGCACTCCGCCCCCTGGATCTCGTGTACTGCAATGAGGTGCTACTGGATTTTTCGCTGAACATTCTCTATTGTCAGTTGTCGCCTCCTGCTGGCATAGTGATTTCATGATGTATATTTATAAAAATTTGTATGATCACTAATGTCCATGGCTGATTTGATTTATAATTTCTAATTTTTTTTTTTATTGATTTTATTTTTTATTTTTATTCCTTTGCATTGCAGACAAACACTCCCTGTACTACATTTACACAGCATTGTCCAAACCTGTCGAACTGCCAGGCATCTATGACTTCACAGCTATGGGTCTGTTAGATGACAGACAGATTGACTATTACAATAGCAAGGAAAAGAAAAAGATTCCCACACAGCACTGGATGAAAGAGAAAATGCAGGAGGATTACTGGGATAAAGGCACCCAGTCAAGAAAGAGCAAGGAACAGTGGTTTAATGTGAATGTCAAAATTCTGATGGAGCGTATGGGACACAATAATGATTCAGGTGAGGATTATTGATGCACATATATATAATATAATATTAACCTGCATGTATTTATAATATAATATGCGTACAATATTATATATTATGATAATATTTTATTGTTTTTATCATCTGAAAAATATTTTGTTTTCTGTACTATTTCAGATGTTCATGTTCTTCAGTGGAGACATGGGTGTGAAATTAATCAAGAGGGAACTGAAGTGAAGTTTTCCAAAGGCATTGATGAGTACAGTTATGATGGCGACAACTTCCTGTCTTTTGATGATAAAGAGTCTCAGTGGGTTGCCCCAGTTGTTGCAGCTCAGCCAACCAAGCGGAAATGGGATAAGGTGCCCATCCTAAACCAGTACACCAAGGGCTACCTGGAAAAAGAGTGTGTGGACTGGCTCAACAAATTCAGAGAATATGGAGATGAGGCGGTTAAAAAAGGCTGTTAGTAAATGCTAAGTATTTGTATTTGTTGATTATCTGCAGCTGTCATAGAGAAAGAACTGATTGATAACCTGTGTCCGCAGCTCCTCCAGTGGTTTATGCGTTTGCGAGAAGGTCTACCAGAGACAAAACTAAGCTGAAACTCACCTGTCTGGCCACTGGTTTCTACCCCAAAGATGTGACATTGACCATGAACAGATATCGCACAGCCCTGCATGAGGATGAGATTGAATCCACAGGAATCAGACCAAACCATGATGGAACCTTTCAGTTGAGCAAGAGTGTGGAGATCAAGGCGGATGACAAAGCAGAATATGACTGTTCTGTGTCCCACAGAACTCTCAGAGAACCAATTGTTCGCAAATGGGGTAGGTAAAGTGAAAGTATTTAATCATTAAAGCAGGGGTCTTTCCTCTGAGGAAACAATGATGGAAGTGCCTACTTGAGTGAACTTGAAAGCATGATCTGTAAGTTTTTAGTTAGAAATTAGCCTAGTGAAATTAGAGTTACAGCTTCATGTTTGTGACCATCATGACACCTGCATTGTTTACCGAGGGTTACACTCACGGAAAGGATGGAGCACGTTTGTGTCGGAGACTCAGGGTCTATAAAAGAGAAATTATGCCATGTAAAAACTCTGACAGAGTGAAAACAAACACTTGTGATTGATAAACATAAACTGTATTTTATTGGATAAGTGCACACAGTTTCATGAATAATTATCAGTACACCATAATGAGAGAAAAATATCACAACCTGGCTATGACATTAATACTATGAAAATTCTAAACCTAAAAGTCAGAAAATAGTGCCAAGATAAGTTTTTTATTAAAATCAAAATGAACGGATGCTAACATTTTCTTCTGTAATATGCAACATAAACACCTGTTAAAATATCTGAAAATGTAGTTGAGTGTTTTATGACCCCTTAAAATTATTCTTTATTAAAGGCTTAACAATGGAATTGACTTTTCTAAATTTAGTAGACATTTATACTTTACATACAGTAACTTTGTCCATTTATTAATTTTTTATTGCAGATGGAGACTGTCCAAACTGCAATGATGGCTCTTTCCCGGGGATTGAAATTGGGATTGGAGCTGCAGTTGTAGCAGCTTTGATTTCAGCGCTCTGCTTTTACCTTCATAAGACTAAAAGATTTTGTGAGTATTACAACATAAATACAGATTCTAGGCACAATCTTTTTAATATTTTCCAAAAAAAAAAATTAAATAAAAAATCTATTGTTTAACTTTGGGTTCAGAAGTTATCCCAAAATCTTGAAATAGTCAATTGAAATCTATTAAGTTGCAAACAACTAATGTCCCCTTATTAACTATTTTTTGTGCTGAACAGATTTCACTTGTTTCTTTGTCTCTGACAGCAATGCATGTAGATTGTAACTGGATTACAAATAAAGATGATACAGAGTACTACAATGGATTAGTGCTTTTGTACCTTTTTTTTTTTTTTTTTTTTTTTTAGGAATACAATGCAAAAAATATTCAGAAATGATTTCATCTGTCTTGTCCTTTAGGTTTCAGGAATGCAAGGCAAGAATCTAAAAGCAAGAACGATCATCCCAGAGATGAAAAGACTGTTGTTTTACTGCCAGGTACCAGTTGTCCCTTTCTTAATATGTAATCAGTCTTTTGTATCAGGGGATGTTGAAACACACTCAGGAGGAAGGTAATAATTTAGCTAATTATTATGTTTTATATATTCCATTTACCAGGATGTTAATTGTATGTACTTACAACTTGTTCATTAAATGTCTGCAATTGCAAAAAAATTGGAATCAAAGTGTACATTTCACTATGCAGTTTAAAATCTCAGATGTGACTTGTATTGCTGCTTACCTTGCATTTGTGTTTGTTACATAGTTGTGGGAGACAAAGCTGGAAGTGAGAGAAGCTCAAATGACTCTGGTAAATATTCCCCTTATTCAAGTATATCTCATGCTTTTTTGTCCTGAAATCCAAAAATCTCATCCTCGCATAGGAAGTGCGTGCAAAGCTTCATGAGGTCTATATGCACTTTTCACTGTCTTGCACACATGTTTATTTTTCTGCTTTTTCTGTGTATTTATTTTTGTGGCCCAAATTTTCGTGCATCCTATTTAATGCCATCTCATGCATAGCAGTGGAGGAAAAACACCAACATTTCTCTGTTCCTCAACAGGAAAAGGGAGTGATTTAAGTATCGACATTCCTACTAACTCTCAGGAGCATGTGGACAAGATGGTAACTATTTAGTTGTAATTTTAGTGCTGTCAGAGGGAACATTTTGACATTTTTCTGTTCCCCCAAAGGCGAGGGTAGCACAGGACATATATCATTTACATTTACTGATGAGAGGATTTACATTTCATGTGTTGGACTGTTGTGGTGGTCAACAGAATAGAAGATTATGACAATTTATGCTGTTGCTGTCTGCTTGGGTGAAGCTGATTCCACCATCCACCATAGAGATTGAGGAGAGCAATATGCTTAGCCTTGTTATGGGCCTAGCAGGGATAGGGAAGCAGGTGGAGGTGCAGAGAAGATGAGTTATATGTGAATATTAGAGAACATCAGTCGAAGTCCAGCAGAATATTAATACCTAGATGGATGAGTTGAAGTAAGACAAAAGCAGACTATAGGGCCAGTACCAGGATGTGGGTTGTTAATTTGCTAAGGGGGCCTACATGCTGAAGTGAACTCTAAGATGGGGAACACTGGGAATGCCTTGATTTCAAATCTGATGTTGTAAAGTTGTGTAGCTATCTCAGAGTAAAGTGTACCAAATCTGGTAATTAATTTTTAGATGTACTATTCAACTAATGTTAAATACTAATATTGAATAACTCATAAATTAAATAACACATATTTATGTCTGTTAGGACTCCAGTGGCAAGAACATGGCAGAAAATCATGAACTGCTACCATAGAACAACCCTTGATATGAAGGCGGAGCATCATGGAAAATTTGTAGTGGCAGATTGTGTTTTTTTTCCTGTCCTGACCATATTTTTGGTGGGGGGTTGTTGGTGAATTGCTGAATTATATTTTCTCTCTCATATTTCATTTTGTTTAAAAATACTTTTTTAATAGATTTTTTCTTTTTTAGATCAAGTGCTCATGTATGTAAAATACATTTATATGAAAAGAACTCATTTTACAGATGTATTATTATCACTATTATTGCTACTTTCAAAGGGACAGGATAAACCTTTTTAAAAATATTTTTTAATTGCAATGAAAAAATTCCTGAGCATACCTGATAAATAAATCCCAATAACTACGCTGAACACAAATAGAAATTAGATCTATTCTTTTAAACTCTTGAATATCTTGTGAAATATTGATAATGTAGTGGCGCATTGTTAGTGTAGTGTTTTACATTAACTGATTAATAAACGGATTTGATTTATATAATTATACAATGTTGATTACAATAATTTTCACTAGTACTGTTATCATAAACGTTGTGTCAATATGCTATGGGGATTTATGTGGCACAGGGCTGTGTGCCTGTCAGTCGTTCTTGTATCAAAAAAACCCAAACAAAAACACATTCAGTCAGGCTGTCTTTTCATTCATAGCATCGCATCAATGGAGCTCAATACCCCCATTAATTAGAGAGTCCACATCCTATTACTCATTTAAGATTAATGTTAAGAAATGGCTTATACACTGTCAGCATTGATGCTGGTCCAATTCACCAAAAATAAATATCTATTTTTATTTTATTTTATGTGCTCATGTTTATTCGATTATTTGTGATTTTAACGCAGTCTTTTTTGTGTGTGTGTGCTTATTGTATAAAGAATTCTATTGCATTGTAACAATTTATTATTTTTGGATGCCCAATAACATCTGGCAAGGGGACTGCTGACGAAAACTAACTCGGGTGCACTTACATTTGTTTTGAATGTTGATCAGTGTACATTGTCCCTTTTCAAATAAACAAATGAAATCAAGAAAACAGTGTTTCTGATTTATGGCAGTTGCTGGCATGTGCCTGTATGTCTGGTGTGTTAAGTGTTGTCGCAGTTTTGGAATCATTAGCTTTACGTACATCAGCCACATATGTACACACACAGAGTACACCAGGGATTGCAAACTCACCGCTTCATAAGTATCTTTTACCAGTACATACGTGATACTGAAATCAGTATCGGACATCTTGCTTGGAAGCTAAGCTATATATAGTGAAGTATATAGTGAATATAGTGAAGAGCAGCTGAGGCTGATGGAGGAACAGGAACTGCCTGTAGCGGTAGCTGGGCGGACTGCTGGTGCCTGTGCTCTCCCTGTGTGCTATGCATTTGAATACAAATTGCTCATTGTTAGGTCATGTTAGTTAATACATTAATGTTAACTAATGAACCTTATTGTAAAGCGTTACCAATACATAACAATGCTGATCACTGAGATGAGTTTGACAAACAACATGTATAACTGGTTTGAGTAATTTTTGAATGTATAACAATCCAATATTTAGGTAGTTTGCAGTTTATAGTAGTTGGGGTCAGTGGTTTCAGTTGTCCCACACTAAAGAAATTATTTGGTATGCAGTACAGTACAATCAGTTAACAACTTAAAGAAAGGGTTTCCTCAATTTAAGTCAATAAACCATGTGTAATTGGAAAAAATTAGGTTGTGTGCAATTGTCAAGTTGATCACCATTTTTAGTGTGCATGTATGCATATATTCATGTTGTTTTACCATCTTTCCTACTTTTCTAGACCACTTCCAGGGACTATAAAAGTAATTTTGTCAGCATCTGGACAGCAAGTTAAAAATCAGAGATCACAATTTGTTTTAATTGGACATAAAATGTTTATTTCCCCATTCAAAGAATTTAAAGAAAGGTGATCACTAAAAAACAAGTCAACATAAAAAGAAGAGTGTGAAAGTGGGAGAAAAAGCAATGCTTCAGCAGACTTTCTGAAAATCATAAGCTAAATACATTTGTCCTTTTAAATCTGACTAAAAAAAAATTCTTTAAACAAAAAGAAATCAAAAGTAAAAAAAACTTTTAAAGTCTAAAAAAATCTTTGTGCACATGCACAAAATAAAATATATTAAACAAAACTATATTAACACAAACTTAAATCAATGTTAAACGAAAAAGTAAAAAAAAAAATAATAATAAAAAAAATAATAATAAAAAGATACCACGGTCTTGGAGGAACACAAGTCTGCTTGGCAGCATATTGTTATTACAGTAACTAGAGCAAAATGCATCTGTGGACTAATCATTTACAAAATCATTTAGGCTTTTTTTCCCCAATTCTAAATACTTAACAGCATGATGGTAAAATAGGACCACACCATTTCCAATAATATCCACTTTGCATTTACACTTTTTATTATTTAAGATTAAGATTCTGTTTGCTTTAAATGTTAAAGTAGGGCACATCCCATTTCAAATAGTTTTCTTTTTACCAAATCTTTGAAATAGTCTAAATGTTGGAATAAAGGCTTTTACAAAAGAAATAAAACAAAAAGAAAACAACCCTAAAGGGTGGAGCAGCTTACAAAAAAAAAAAAAGTATACATTTTAAAAATGAGATTGTCAGAGCTAGTGTTTAATGACGCGAGAAGAAACCTTAAGATGCAACTGTCTTTTCGTAGAGACGAACATGCATATTGCTTTAACAGGCATTTAAAACCAGGACGACAGCTTAAGCATGATCAAAACAACTAAAAAGATTTGGGAACCCTTTCCTAAACCCCATCAACAGAGCAATGTACTTCCAATTACATGATACTTTAAATCAAATAACATTTTTCTAGTTTATTTTTACTCCTCATACCCTCTACTGCACCTTCACACAATTCATCAGTCTGTCTAAAAGAACAATTGCATATCGTGTAGAAGAATCTTACCACGTTACATGCTATAACACAGGCTAGTTTTCTTTGCTAAAAGTACACCCAGTGTTAAATCGAAGCTCATTAAAGAAACCGCTTTATCACTCATGTTAGATTGTCCTTACACAAGTCAAGCATTCTTACTCATAACTTCAACAGTTCCCCATCTTACGAGGGGGAACCCGACAGTCCGACTCCTTATTAGAGAAAGTGCTTATCAATAACGCCAGTAACTAAAGTTCCTTAAGAATTATAGTTATTTAACTCCCTATCATTTATTTTAAAAGCAGCGGAGGCAAACACTCAATCTCTACAGGGAATTCTTGGTGCAAGCTTTCTTTCCATGTGATGTTTGCGACACGAAAGGAATAATGCTTAAAAAGATCACATCGATCAAACCAGAAAAAGATTACTCGTAACTTACTTTGTAAAGAAACCTTATTGCCCTTCTTGCCATGCGTTTTAGATGAACCAAAAAAAGGAAAACAAAACCAAGTATCCGCTTAATGAAACATCACGTGAACGTCAGCAACTCCATTATGGTTCTTACAGGCTACAGCTGAAATATCAATGCATTAAAAGCAGTTTGTTCATGGAATGAAAATTTAGCTCAATGTAATGTGCCGCCGCGGAAAGAAAAGAAGCAGGCAGGAAATACAGAAATATGTACTTGTGTCATAATGATTGCATGCTTTTTTCATTAGCCAACGACTACCAGCAAAACTAATAACTTTTAAAGTGAAAGTGCACCCAAAAATGAAAATTTGCATAAAACAAAAAAAGTGGATAATGACTACAGCATTACAAAAGGTATAAGAATATACAGTAAAAGTTAGTAAGGCTTAATTACAACTTGTGTTAAATTGAGCAACATTTTCAGTGAATAACTACTTAATTTCAGCCTGTTTCTCAAACATTGCGTAACTACTCTTAAATGCTAACATTTGGAGATATAATCCACTTTTTTTGTTTTATGCAAAAGACTGTGCTAACGAACATCTCGCAGATGAGTTAAACGTAATTGTCAGTGACAAAAGGATGAAAACTTTTCATTTTTGGGTGATCTATCTCTAAGAAAAACTCATTTTGATCAGGCAGCTTGCCTTAAGCATGTATGCCGCTCGTTGCATTTCCCGTGTGTGTGTGTGTGTGCTTTTGGCATCTAGCTGAGAAGCCATGCTTTGCTAAGGCTGGACTACTGAATGGCGTCGTTTTGTCCAATAAGCAGCTGGTGAATCTTGCCTGAACGATCCCTCCCTCCCGATCAAGATCCCTGAGCTTCAGGTTTCATTCCCGTTATGAGCGAGTAAGAAGCCAAAGTGTGACAATAAAATGGTTGATTTCACATTAACTCTCAAATCTTCTTTCACTACAGGAAGTAGGGTCGCAACAGATCGCAAACCGTCACACGTCTTTGGCTCCAACAGCAGGTAGTTCCCACAAACAGACAGTAACCCTCCCGCAGATTTGACCTGCAAGTAAAGAAAAGCGGCTCGATGTTTCTCCAGCTCGATTCGATGAGCTTTTACTTCATCACTGAGGTTATTCTCACCTAATAGTAGAATCTCGTGTCAGCAGGGGCGGCATCTACACACCATAACAGGCTGAAAGTCTCTCCTTCAGCTGTGGTGGAAACTGTTCTGAGAACTGCTGCCAGTTATCCTCGCCAACCTGATCCTTGAAGCCGTGCAAAATCTAGAGGATATGGACAAATGCTGTTGAAACTAGGGCTGGGTAATAAATATCGATTTCTCGATCTTAATCGAGTCTCATTTTTACGAACCGATATCGATTCTTAAGTCTCAAGAATCGATTATTCATCCTGTTTCATTTGAATGAATAGGATATTGTATCACGGCTGCGCGCATCAAAAAAAAAAAATAAATAAATAAAAATAATCGCAATAATCTTTGTCCTTTGTTACTATTGATATGAAGCAAAGTCGCAATTTTCAAATTACGTCCATTTTCTTTAGAAATTTAAAAACATAAATAGAGTTTTGGCGCTGTGGCGTGAGATCGCTCTGGCGCAGCTGATGAGAAGCAGCAGCGCTGATCTCTCTTCCGGGTTAATAATACAAGTTACAGCGCGAAATAAACATGAATGAGCATCTGAAAATGTGTCAAAAGATAGAGTATAACTTATCGAAATTCGTATCATGTCACATTGATTCGCTCAATCAGCGTTTCAACCGTGGAAAGACGTCAGTTAAACAGCTTGTAATCAATGTATCGTCATATTTACCTCAGAAAACCCACATCAACTCGTTAGTCAGCTAGGAAAAAATAACTACAGAGAGGAGCATTTTGCTAAATATATAGCCACCATTTAAATGTTTATATTTCATATAATCTTCTTATTATAAAAATGAATAAAAGTGTATTAAGTGATTCATTCATTATTACATTCATATTTGAATAAATCTGGCAAGTTTTTTATGACAGCCACCATTTAAATGTTTATATTTCATATAATCTTCTTATTATAAAAATAAATAAAAGTGTAATTTAAGTGATTCATTCATTATTACCTTCATATTAGGCTAATGAAGCCTAATAGGCTACAACTAGACTCCCATAGTTTACAGCATTAGTTAAGAGATTTGATTCCCTTGAGAAAAAATGCCATGCCATATTGAATCGAAATCGAATCGAATTGCAAGCTTGTGAATCGAAATCGAATCGAATTGTGAAATTTGTCTCAATACCCAGCCCTAGTTGAAACATAGTGCTTCGGTCTTGGCCGACTGTAAACCCCTCAAATCAAAGTTTATAGTTTCTGAAGAAGCCCATTCGTACCTTGTAGAACATGTCCCTCAAATCGTCTTTTGGAGTTACCCAGGAGGCCACAGCATCACAGAAAAAGATGAAGTCCTGTGTCAGAGCAACAAAAAAACTTTATGAAAGCTAAATTTGTACAGATCAAATTTTGTTTCACTCTAAAATACGATTACTCAATGTTCTGTCAAAAAAACATTTTACATTGATTAACATATGTGACCCTGGACCACAACACCAGTCACATGGGTCAATTTTTTTGAAATTGAGATTTATACATCTGAAAGGTGAATAAGCTTTCCATTGATGTATGGTTTGTTAGAATAAGGCAATATTTGGTCAAGATACAACTGTTTAAAAGTCTGAAATCTGAGGGTGCAAAAAATAAATAAAATATTGAGAAAAATCGCCATTAAAGTTGTCCACTTATGTTCACGATTGTGCTGCATTCACTCACAAAAACAAATGTTTTCTATATTTACGGTAGGAAAAGTACAAAATCTTTACTAAACATCCTGATAATTTTTGAGATAAAAGAAAAATCAATAATTTTGACCCATAAATATACTCGTGCTGCTTGTGACTGGTTTTGTGATCCGGGGTTACATATATTACTACAGCAATATTTAATGGGTTATGTAATATTGCTTCAGAAATAATCAAGGTTTTGGGGTTATTTATGATCTATTGAAGTAATTCATTTATTTCAGATATTGCCACACAGCAAGTACGTTTTATTAAATTATAAATTCAATCATCTCCATTTGGACAATGGATTTGGTTTCCACCTCACCTGTACGGCCCCTCCCGGATTTACCCCAATCATTACGCAAATGCCTCTGAAGGCCGAGTCTTTCTCTTCATTGTCCCGAATGTTTCTAAGTGACGTGCACCTATGTAATAAAAAAAAAGGATGTTAATGGAGAGGTTCGTTAGACTCAATGGTTTAAGACGCATGAAAACAGAACTACTTCACACATAAGATGCACTCAACATCTCACCAGGGCCGAATGAACTGTGCCAACATGGGGGCAACTTCCTGTGGACACACGTATCCCAGTCGACCAATCGTAATGGCTGTTTCAAAGGCACAAAAAAGGAACGTGAGCGCGTCTCAAAGTTTCAAACTAAAAATTAGCACCAGTCAAAGCCACACAAATCAGAATAACAGTGTCTACAGCTGATTCAGGATTCGAATGTCTGTTTTGGAGTTCATCATATTCAGTGCTGATTTTATTGCAGTGATTGTATGATATGTTCATGCTGGATCTAATCACCTGTGTTCTCCAGTAGAGTTTTGGGTGTATTAGGTCGGTTGATGATCTCCACAAGGTTATTGAGAACCAAGGCCACAAAAGGCTGCATCTCCGTACCTGGAAAAACAACAGACAAATGAAATGTAAGATTAATGAAAGCGGACTCTATAAATGTGGCCCATTGCTTAAAAAAAATCTGACAGATGTATTCATTGCTTAATTAACTGCTAGATGGAGTCACAATCTGGAGAGTAACAAACCCATTTCAAAAGCATTTCCCCCCCAAAGCAAATAAGTAAATAAGCAAACAAATCCGCACAGTACCGACAGTGAGTGAGCAATACTATCTAAAAAAACACAACTTTGTATGACTGCCCAAAAAACAGGACAGATATCGGATTTGCAGAATCACAACGCATTACATATTATATATATTTTGTATATGGGTGGGAGTTGTGTGTGCCTAAACACTCACCCATCTGAATAGCAATCTCTCCGATGGCCCACGTGGCATTGTTGCACACAGATATGAACTCAGGGTTGAGATTGACACCCAGGACAGGCATGAACTCAGCTGGAGAAGGTAAACGGACAACAATGACAAACTGACCAGCACAACACACACACAAGCAACAGCTAGCATGAGAAACCGGCTCTCCAATTGTCAGGCTTAACTCAGTATGTCAAAGAACACAACTCACCGACGCACGGCTTCACGTGAAGGAAACACGCCTTCGTCAAGTCTCCTAGGAGAGCGAACGAACTCTGTCGCACTTCGGGCATGGTGTCCTTTATTTATATGACAAATAAACCAGTTAAGCAATCAGAACACAGTTAGCATTTCTTTTATTAATATTAATAGTATTAAGATGCATACACACAGATACATATATCATTTTACTAGAGCGCTGCCTTTGTACTGAAGGAGTACAAATTTATTAAATGTATAATTTAGGTTCCAATACAATAGTATAAACTAAACCAGACTACTAAACTGATTTGAGTTGGCTCATCCCAACTGATTTAACCGTACCTGCATGCACTGGAAGAGCAGGGTCATGATGTTGCTGCGGGTGACCAGCTGTTCCACATGTGCCCCGAGTCCCTCGGCCAGACCGCTGAGCAGATCGAGAGCCACGATCATGAAGTCTTTATCAGGGGACTCGTACTGGTCAGGTTGCTGGTTATACATCTACAACAAGAACAGGACAAACAGATGTAGGGAATAAACTAACGACAACATGCTATGGTGTTCATTCTCAAACAAGCGAGCATGTCGACTGACCATGGCTTGAGCGAGGTTCTTCTGGACCAGGGTGACACAGCGCTGGTAAACTGGTTCACAGTAAGGCAGGAAACCACTCTGCAGTGCTGTGGCCACTGAAGACAGACACTACAAGGAAAAAGGGACACATTAAGACATTTCTGTCTTTGAAGAATGAATATCACACAATCCAAAAGGGCAGAAGAACTTTACCTCCAACAAGGGGAACAGATCTTTGTCTTCATCTTTTAACTCATTCCATTTCTGAATCAGAGGGGGCATGAGCTTTTGGATGTATTCCTGCTCAACAACAAAAAAGACATTTTATTAAAGACGAAAACGTTCACGTTCACGCTCAAAATGAACATGATCTCACCGGCTGGTTAAGATGGTGTCCGACAGAGTCAGCAAGGGTTCCGATGGCGTCATATAGGATCAACAAGTTCTTATGCTGGTACTTGCCGAAAGCAAACACCAGTGTGTCCAGAATGAAGCTCAAGTAGGGAACCAGCTCTGTACAAGCCTCCTCTTCCAGGGTCGCAAATGCACTGATGGAAAGAAAAAAGATCTGCATTAGCTCAATGTGCCGACATCTTCACAAACATTTCCTAACTGAAAGGTGACTGGGAGAGATATTTCAGGGGGAAATGTGTGGTTTGATTCGTTTAAGAGGATTTTAGGCACTTTCTAGCTCTTGAGGTTGGGAGGCTGACTGGCCAACCAGATAAAGCCAGCTATACCATTGTAAAGCAGAGACTCACCTTAGGGGCCATTCAAACAGAGTGAGTTTTTGCAGTTAAAAACATTAAATGACAGGTCTAGGGCTAGGAATCGAAAATCGATTCCAATTCTGGAATCAAATACTTAAGGTCAGGATTAGGATACTTATGAAACAATTTCAATTCTTCTTGTGCATTGTTTTTTTTGTGCTGCGCACACACATCCAAAGCGCTCTCACAAAAAAAAAAAAAAAAGTGCTTTTAAACCATTGAAGCACAAAACTTATGTTCAAATGCTTGTGTGACAAGTGAAAATATGAGTAAATGCAAAATTAGCATTTTTTGATGAACCAACCATTTCCAGTTTGGCAAGAGTCATTTTGACACACTTTCTTGCAATTAGTACTGCGACTGATTGCATTGATCATCTGAAGAGGATTCGTGTGTGCTGGAACTCAGTGAAAACTCTCAGTGGAACTCAGATATTTACTTAGTATGATTATTCAAAGCGTTTTATATGGTTTATTTTTAAATAGTGCATTAATAGCAAGTCTGTGAGATTCAACTAATGCCTTAATTGATAAAACCATGCGTTTCAGTGACATTACTACATATGTTGAATATAATGTATAATAATGCAATGGGGGAATAATAATATAAAAATAACTATACAACTCACAATATCTTGATATTTTAAGCCAGGGGTGTCAAACTCAGTTCATGGAGGGCCACAACACTGCAGAGTTTAGCTTCAACCCTAATTAAACACACCTGATCAGCTAATCAAGTCCTTCAGGCTCATTTTAAAACTGCAAGTGTGTGTGTGTGTGTGTGTGTGTTGAAACAGGGTTAGAACTAAACTCTCTAGGGCTGTGGACTTCCAGGAACTGAGTTGTGTCAAGCGAATTGTGACAAGTGTATCGTTACACCCTTAACAGACATGGCTGGATAGTCATTTAGGAGTTGGTCTGGATGGAGTAATGATGTTTTTCAAGAGCGGGTTAAACACACCTGCAGGCGGCCTCTTGAACCCTCTTGTTGCTGTCAAGGATGCGTTTGAGCAGCTCGGTCATCAGGGGTTTGAGGTAGGAGTCGGGTGGCTGGCTGACCACCCAGTGTGCATAGCGACTCAGAGTCCAGCAGGCGATGGAGCGAACCAGAGCTTTCTTATCACAGAGACACTGGATCAGGTGAGGAATTAACTCCGGAAGGTACAGCACCATATCCTGCATACAGCCTGAGGACGAGAGAGAGAACAGAGTCAGAAGAGGAGTCATTCCAACTTTTGCAGAGCATACGCTACAGTTCAAAATTTTGAGGTCAGAAATATATCTTTTGAAAGAAATTAATACTTAAGCAAGGTTGCATTTAATTTATAAAAAGTGACATTAAAATGACAAAAAATAGACATTTCTAATGTAAAAAAAGAGATTAAAAACATTTCTATTTAAAAGAAAATGCTGTTCTTTTCAACATTATATTCTCAAAAAATATATATTTTTAAATCATTATATGGGCTCTATGCACGGCGTTATTTCCGGTGAAGGATTAAGGATGCTCGATAACTTCCGCCGATCATAGAGTCCAATGCAATACCGATAGTTTATATTGAATTTTATACTCCATGGTTATACTAATGAAACGTTAGTCACAAAAACAGATAAAACAGACACCCCTCGTTGTGTTTATGCTTCTTTTTAAAATTATATTAAATAAACATAACTATATATAAAATTACATCTAAACGTATGTACGTTTCGTTTCAAAGACGGGAGGACAGTAAATATTGAAGACTCTGCCATAATCCCGTTTTCTCCGGTTTTCCTCCGCTTTAATCTACACAACCGGAAATGGACGAGCATCCTTACGTCAAATGCAGAACTTATGCGTGCATATAGCCCATTAGAGTTATTTCTGAAGGATCATGTGACTAAACACTGGAGTAATGATGCTGAAAATTCATTTTCAGGAATAAATTACATTTAAAATTATCAAAAATATATATAATAAAATTTACTCTACTGTAATTTTGCTAAAATAAACAACCTTGGTGAGCAAGAGACATTTAAAAAACATTAATAAAATATTCATTTTTTAAAACTCTTTCTGACCCCAAACTTTTGAACATACACACACACATATATATATATATATATATATATATATATATATAGTGTATATTGTACACAGATTTAGTATGCATTTTATATAGGGGTGGAATTGTCAATTTGGATATTAAACAGAAGTGGTGTGCATGTTCATCCATTTTACATTTAGCCTTGATTTGCCAGATTTGCTATGAATGAAAGATCTCCCCGACCCCCTCAAAAAAGAGAAAATTGTACAGAAAAATATATTTAACTGTTAAACATTACAATACTTCACCCCTAATGAATACCCAAATTACCTTTTACATTTGCCAAAGTGACTAGATTAAATCGCCACAAAACAAATGACCGAATTGTAACTTGAATTAAGTATGCTACACTAATCATGACTTCACTATATTTATAGCATTACTGTTCAAAATGTTTTCCATAGTCTTTTTAAAAATAGTGTGCAGTACACAGTATAAATAGCATTTCATAAGCTGTATTATATCCCTATATCAAGTCAGAACAAAGTCAAGGTTTAGTAGAAAGAGGGTTACATTTTACACGTCCTCATCCAGTGGACTTTACCTTCAGCAATGGCTCCAAGAACCAGGATGCCAGACTCTTTACTGACCCAGTCCGGGTGGAACAGCAGTTCCTTCAGCACAGGGAGCAGGTGGGGCAGCAACTCATCCCGAAACACATTTGCCAAGACATCAAGGGCGGCTGCCGAACACTTACCTACAGAGCAAACCAACAGGGTTAGACCTCTTGGATTTCTCCAATCACCAATCTAACTGCAAGCTTTGTGGATCAGACAGTATGAGTAATGAAACATCACAGACATTCATGACATTTATGAGTATAATCATCTCCACAGAACACACCAAGCATATAATATTTGCTCAAATTAGCAATATTTACCCAGCATCAGGTTGGTTTCTTATTTAAAACACTCACGTAGATTCCAGTCGGAGAGACTGTCGTCGTCATCATCATCATCGTCATCACTGTCCTCTCCTTCCTCCGCTTCATCCCCTTCATGGCGAAGGGTGACAGTACGAGACTTGTGAAAGCGAGGCTTTATGTCCTGCTCGTTGTCCGGCACGGCCTCGTCTTCCTCCACATCACCCTAAACAGGAAGTAGAAAATCACCATGTGCTGAAACACACTGGTCTATTCTGGACCGCAATGACACGAGTCAAAAGCCTTGGGTCAGACAGTATGAATACTTGAAAATCATGGAGAAAATCAGGAATAATGATGTAATCATACCCGAGGCCAGACTTATGAGAACTTCTTATGATTATGAAGCAAAGTAACTAACCTTTAACAAAATGATGTCAATCTCAGAGTACTTCATCCCATTCACCAGAACAGGAACTAGTCTAGGGGAGATTAAAGACAGGAAGTCAAAATTAGTATTATATTTGAGGTATAGAGGGATGTGAAAAGAGCATCTCTGACAAAAGGAAACGTGAGATAATCTCTAATGTATTAGACAGGAAGTTCAAATGCTACATCCTGTATTGAAATGGCTACCGCATAAACCCGTTAGCACATTTCTACTGTTCTATATTAAATGCATAAAATAGAATTTTTTTAGAAGGATTTCTCATTAAATTATTTTTCTATAATACATTTACAAAATACCAGTTGATCAAAGCCATTTTAAATACCTTAAATAATAATAAATTATAAAAAACAAACAATAGAACAAAATATATACAGTTCCAACTTGTTCAGATTCTATTATACAGTTTGATGCAGTTATTTTAAATGTCTAAACGTTTTTAAAATATTATTAATGTTAAGAAATACCATATAATAAAGTCCAATAAAATAATATATATATATATATATATATAAAATTGTAAGCCATTTTGGTATTTTTTTTAAATAAGTTATCACTGCATTTTATTTTAAAAACAAAATTTTTTTTTCGCCTGAGACACCTGGAAATAAGTCACACTACACAAGTTAAACTGGCTGCTAACGCCTGGCTAAGTTTTATGTTGACCAAGCATCATTTGGTCTTGGAATCAAATGGTCAAGGTTATGATCCAGTTCGGCCCTGCTGGTAGATGTGCCAACCATACCAACTGGTTGCAATAAGCACCTTTCTTGATGGACACACATTCAAACGGGGGCTCACAAAACTGAATGACTCTTCACTTACTGTGCAAGGTGTCCAGAGAGGGCATCCTTACAGATGGGCTGCTCAGCCAGTGTAAGCCAGAACTCACAGGCCTCCAGAGACACGTTCTCATCCGGGTCCTGTGTGCGCTGCAGCATGTACTGCGGGAACAGTCAACATCATCAGCATCTCAGCACACCATGTCAACATGTACACCACTTCAGGGTCCTCTCGTTCTTCTTACCTCAACGATGCTGCGCATGTGAGGGATGAGCCGGTCAACTCGCACCTCCAGCAGCATGACCAGAGCCCTGCACACGTTCTTCCGCACCTCCGAGTCCTCGTCTGCGGCCAGCGCAAACAGACTCTGGAGTAACAGCCAAGGAGGAAACAGATTAAAACAGCGATTACAGTAGACCGTATTCAGGCGTTAATTGTGTCACATGGGGACAAGAGGGTCATTTTGACATTTACAGGTCCTAGTTGTGGGCAGAACTTTACTTCCCAACTTCAAAAAGCCTTTTAAAGGTATACATGTGAATTAAACGTGGCACACTGGCCTTCATCATCACAGTGTGCTTCTGCAGTGTTTCCATTTGACTTGAGTTTGTTTGGTGTAGTCTTTACTGAAGCCAAAATGTGTCCAAACGACTGACACTGCGTGTTTCTTTGGTACAAGTGGCTCGCAGAATGGACGTGGCAGAGTCACGTGACTACACACACGGTAATATGTTTATAGACCATTTCACAAGATGTAAACAATATTGGCCCAGAAGCACTTCCTGTTTCAGTTTTTTAACACTACATAAAAGCTGGGATAAAATACAACCAACAGAACATATAAAACTGAATCAAAAAGTTAAACAAACATCTTTAAGATGTTTTCTTTACATGTGAAATAAAGAAAACAGTTACAAACTGAAACAGGAAGTGCTTCTGGACCAGTGTTGTTTACATTTTGCAAAATGGTCTATATAATATGTTTATATGTAATATAAAAGGGGAAAGTACATTAACGCACAGTGGGCGGAAATATTATTAGGTTTAAAAAATATGAATAGGTTTATTTTATTTTTACTCTTAACTGTTCTTATTTATATTGTTTAAATTTTCTTTTATGTAAAGCACTTTGAATTTCCATTGTGTATGAAATGTGCTATATAAATAAACTTGCCTTGCCTAAAAAAAAAAAAAAAAAAAAAAACCCCGAAATAACCGACATGGTAAAACGACGTCGGTTATAGGCTCCGATCATCCAACCCAAACTGTTGCATAATCTTCACTAATGACTGTCTTTTTTTTTAGTAAGTCACATTATATAAATAACAATAAACAAAGTGTCACTGGCAAAACCTTGTTATCTTCTATTGTTAGTCTTAATTCTTCTAGTCACTACCAGTGGAGGAGGAACTCAAATCTTTTTTACTAAGTAATATTACCATAATGAAAACAAGTTTAATAACATATGTAGGCCACAGTACTTTTATTCTATTTTAAATAAGTAGTCAGCAAAATTTAATAATCACGAAACTACTCTTTATGCAAAATGGCCCTATATAAAGTGTCATAATTATATAAATTATCGGAATATTGCTTGATGTGGTAAAGTAGCGTTATAGGCAGAATAAGTCTTAATAATACTATATAAACTTATAACACTGTCTACACCAGACCGTTGTTGCTCACATCACAACAGACGCTTACCCCAGACGTTACGAACGAGGCATCGGTTTACTTTCGGAGATTTGTTGCTCGCGCATTCAGTGTAGACCACATCACAGATTATATCTGCGACCGGCCCATATCAGCTGATAATATTGGCAGACCGATAAATCTTTCGGGCTCTAGTATATAACTATCAGAAATAATTACTGTCCAAATAGGGTGTAATGTTAATCAAATGATTATTAAATCCAGCATGCTCACCTCAATAAAGGTGTCAATGTTGTCCATCAGGGCTTGCGCTCTTCCGATGATAAACTGATTCACACATGCAATAGCATGAGATCTGCAGAACCACATGAATGACCATTAGATTCCCAGAAATACGCCAAAGTTTTATTCAAGAACAGAATATGGGACATGAAAAGTGACCCCATCCTTCCCTTGACTGACCTGATCTTGGGGCTGCAGTGTTTGAAGAACTGCAAGAACTTTGGAATCATGATGTTGAGGGGTCGGTTCAGAGCGTCACTGTCCAGGAGCTCAGACGAGTCCTCGCAGATCTTCTGTAGAGCTCCAAACGAGCCCTGTGTGTGTGAATGAGAACAAACTCAGATACAACTCACACCTGTGGGGAACATTTATGGATGTGATACAGGAAGCATCACAACCACTTTGCCTGCATCATTTCCAAACACATTTAAATAAAATGTGTAAGACAAAATAGAAGAGGAAAAGCGAGCGAGATGGCAAAGACAGGTTTAGGTTAAAGGGATAGTTGACCCAAAAATGAAAATTAGGTCATCAGTTACCCACTCTCATATCGTTCCAAAAAACATAAGATGCGTTCGTTCATGTTTAAAACACAAATGAGAATATTATTTAATGAAATTTAAGAGAACTTTTCAGAACCTGTAGAAATGACACCAACTGATTATCCATTGGTTTCACAGACAAGGCTTAAGCTAATCTAGTTCAAATGCATATTGTTTGACTGAAAGCAACTGATGCACACCAGTAATGTTTTTTTTTTTTTTTCTAAAAGCAAATTAAATGCCCTAATTGAACGAAGGCCTAATCCTGGCTTAATCTAAGCCCTGTCTGTGCAACCAGGCCAGATAGTATTAGCGTTTCTGTATCCCGAGTTAGTTTGAGGCTGGATACTCATACTCATTTTCTACAGCCCCTGGAAGTGTGGAGAACTTTGTCTTCAGTAAAGTCATTTAAACAATGATCAGTAAACATACACAGAGCACTCAAATATGGCAAGCGGAAGCTCAACCGTACTTGCTAGAGGCGTAAACAAAACGTAATGGCGTGACGCGAGAATAAACCTAACTGGTTCTCCAGCTAACATGCCTGAGCTTCCATTTACCAAATCTGAACACGCCATGTACATTCGCGAATCAATAATTATATGTGAATAAAAGCCTACAGAAAAATCTGTTCAGTATATAAAGCGATCATGTCTCAACAGATATCTTTTACAATCTCTTTATGAAGCTTCAGAGTTGGGGGTGAATATTCTTTCAACGGACGGACAGAAACCTCTAAGATATCATTAAAATATCTTCTTTTGAGTGCCGAAGAGGAACCGTAAAGGTTTGGAACGACATAAGGGTGTGTAAATGACAGAATTGTTATTTTTGGGTGAACTATCCCTTTAAGGCGGCCATGAAGAGAGCAGAGGCAAGGCACAGACCTCACAGATGTTGTAGTCCTCCGAGTTCAGCATGTTGCACAGCTGGGGCAGCAACTCCGGCCATGTCTGCAACTCCCCTTTGGTGGCAATCGTTGTAATTAGTATACCTGAAGACAGGAAGAACAAGAATCGTCACATTTTCTTGATACTAAGAGCATACTAACAACAGAACATGATAACTGCTATCTGTAGGGGTGCGCAAATAATACAATTCTGTCTGATACCAGTAATTATTTTCATGTTGTTAACTGATAAATGTACAAAAAAAAGTACTAATTAGTGAAATCTTCAATTTCTAATGTTTTATAACATTATTTGATGTTTTTTTTAAATAAAGTGCAATTTCCAGTCAATAACATTTGAGTTCATGTAGATGCTTGACTTACTCTAGAGCACGAGGAGAGACTCACCGATAGTGGCGCGGATGAGAGGGGAAGGGTCCCCGATGTTGTTTAAACATTCCTGCTTGATGAAGTGTGCGACTCCAGGAGGGAAGTTCTGATAGTGAACCTTCACGTTGTTCTTCAGTATCAGACCGCTGAGGGATCGAGTGGGCTCATCTGTGGAGTGTGAAGGAAGGAAACAGACATTTATAGTAATAGTTGCAATATAAAGACTGTCTGAAACCCTATGGAACAACACACAAAAGTAATATGAGAACATGCAATAAGGTGAGCTTTACACAAAAATGAACTCAGACACCAACCTTCAGTTTTCAGCCTCGTTAGGACGAAGATCAGATAGTTGTTGAAATCAGGAAACTGATTCAGCTGCTCTAGTTTCTGAGAAATGTTTAAGAATATTAGAGTTGCTGTAATAATAGCTGCAGTTCAACAAGCACATTGACACTATTTTAGAAAAACAGATGAAATATATTTAATCTATATTAGGACAATATAATTTATCACTTAGTAGTAAGGTCCCATTAGTTAATGCATTGACTAACATGAATTAACAATGAGCAATACATTTGTTACAGTATTTATTAATCTTTGCTAACATAAGGTAATAAAATACAACTGTTCATTGTCAGTTCAGGTCCCCTAAAAATTAACAGATATAACTTATGATTTTAATAATACCATTACATTAAAACATGATTTTAGAAGTAGTTTCATTGTAATTTAACATGTTAACTAACTAATGATAACAAATGGAACCTTATTGTAACAACATTTTTCTATTTAACTTCCCTGTACTGAAATAAAAGACCCACAGCCGATAGTTGACATTATTTTTGGCCAATTTTAAATCAGGTATCCAAACATTATTGCACATTTAAAAAAGGATTAACGGTTTAGTGCTTTTGAAATCGGGTAAACCAAGTTCACAAATGAATAAATAAGGGTGCAACGTTACATAATGATATCAATATGTTCATACTAATATCTCTGTCATTTATGTATTTAAAATGCCCCTAATATGCTTTTTCGGTTATCACCTGTCATGTAGTGTATAATATAGCGTTTTGTGAATGTGCAAGGTCTGCAAAGTTTCAAATTCAGGAATCCAGAAAAAGCATTTTATTTAAGAAAAACTCAAAGGTCTTCACTACAAGCCGTCAATATTAAAGTTTGGTTTAACTTGAAGAAATATTGACAGAACTATATTACTATTGTTTAATAGAATGTACTTCCCAAAATAAAATTTCAATATTACTAAAGGAGTTTAATTTTTTGTCCATGTTTTAATTTAGTAAATCTCTGTTGTGCAGCACTTGGAATAAAAACATTATAAAAACATATGCATATAAAAATAAAAATACATTTTTATTGTATTTATATACAAAATACATTTTATAGGACTGCATTATTGTAAATTATTTTAAAAAATTATCAATGACACAAATAAGTTGTTTATCTAATCCAAAATCAATTACTACATTTAATAGATTAGACAAGTTTATAATTATTGAAATTTGAAGGAACAAAACATACAAATGGTTTCAAGTTTGTTATAATCAAGTATAGAGAGACTGAATCCTTTGTTAAACTATTTCAGATATTGTGAAAAAAAAAAGAAGTGATGCTGCAAGTAACTTGAACACATTGTAGGAGACCTTCCAAACAACATAATAGAGGCACTTTAATAAATACTACAAATTCTTAGTATCAGTATATGGTCACCACCACCACCAATATATCAAGGATTCCTTGAGTTCTGTGAATGGCAGCAAACAGAGAGTTGTGTTGAGGATACCTGCTGCACAGCTCTCTGTGTGGCTGTGTTTGGAGATTGAGAGTCTCTCAGGAGCTGCAGGACCTGCTGGAGGCCTTGTTCATCCGGCTGCCACTCCATCCTGCACACAAACCACCAAAGACAATTACAAATCCTTCATGCCTTCACAAAATACTTCCTCCTGTGAAACGATTGCAACACCAAAACAACTTTTTTGTGGTTAGCAAACTTCTGTAGAGCAATTTATCCACAACTACTACCAGCGCATTAAGTATAATGTTGTTGAGGACAGGGGAAGACATAGGTAAAAATACAATAGTATATATGACATTATATACATGATTAAAGCTAAAGGGCTTTTACACATCCTCCAAGTGTTTCAAACCAAAAAATTAAACGGCAAGAAATTAAAATGTTGCAAGTTAATAAGCGATAAAAGCTCACAAATCACATACACAACTATATTAAACAAATACTGTACAAAACAATAGTTTCCAATGTAATACAACAAACAGGTGTGATTTGATTACATCTCAATGAAAAGTATTTTTGTTTTTCAGTCCACATTCACTTCTTTGTGTTTAATATGCCATTAAAAACAACCCTGGCTTTTATTTTGAAATACATTTTCAAAATGAACGCAAGTTAGCCTACTTTATGATTAGCCCAAAAAAAGGGTTGAAATATATTTGACATGTATAATCTGTATAATAAACATTTTTAGGACGAATATTTTCTCTTTTTTATGATTTTAGAACCATCTATGCGTGTAGTTTATAAAAGAATAATAAAATTTAAATGCATGTAGTATATAAAATAATCCTCAAACTGCAAAAAATATCTGGCTAAAATTGTTAACAAACATCTGACTTAAGACTTTTTGAAGAAAAGAGCGTGAAGAATCAGGAAATGCACATGGTCGTCCCTGCATACCGAGGCCTTGTCTTTCTTTCACCCTATGCAAGAGTAGCTCAAAAACCCCAGGCACGACCCACATTAATACGCGATAGAAAACCCCTTATAAGACGACCAATACAAAAACAAAACATCACGCGAAACCTCAAACAATAAAGCAACAGGTAAAGGCTATCTAAACCCAGTTATTTAGGATTATACACATGATATGTGAATATCTTTAGTACACGATCTAGCGAGCATACTTGACCTAATCCACGTTACCAACTATTATTGTGTTAAACTCCATATACGTTACAGTACATAGAAACTATAAACATCAGACACGAGCGTGTTCACTTACACATGCCGCGTGCGGAGGCCTATTGATCAGCTCGTGCAGCGTGGAGCTCGCGCTCGTCTCGCGCAATGGCACTTTCAAACACTTCCGCAGGACGAGCGCTACAACGAGGAAATGACGAGATGATCTCGGTCAACGCAACTGTGGCCAGTTTCAAATAAACGGAATCTGCCAGGGATTCGGTAGTAAACAAAAATATTTGAAATGGTTGCATTTATCCGGTTTGATTTAGTTTGGAAACGTGATTTTTTTTTTCTAGCAACTAAGTTAATTTGTATTATCTGCAGCAGACTAATGGTTTTATATAACCCCTCTCTCAGTAATTTCGTATTGTATTATTATTATTTTGTGTCGTGTTTAATTTGTATGTCTACGCACTTAAAAAAAAAAAAAAAACTTTTTAGTTTAAGGCGCAGCAACTTTAAGCAGTGCAAAATACACATGCAACAAGTGAGCTCATATAATTGAACCATATAAATTAATTCACAAACTCACAAAGGCAATAAAAAAAATAAAAAAAACAGATTTAATTTATTTTATGATTAAACATTAAGGAAAAATAACAAGACATCCAAAAAGAAAAGAATAAAAGACATTTTGCCGAGATCCAGGCTCGTGACGTCATGGGAACATGTCGGCGCCCAGAGAAGTACACAGATTTTTGTTTAATATTGTGTTTTCTGTATTAATGACTTTATTTGTGTCTTACTGTTTGTATTGTTAAGATTTAATAAAAAAAAAAAAAAAAAAAAAAAAAAAAAAAAAAGAAGTACACAGATAACTTAGGACAGATAAACGTTCTATTAAAATGTAATAAAATGCATGAGTAAGGCAAGGTTCCAAAAATAATTTACTAAGCGTTTGCAGTTACATGTACAGGAATATATAATTAAGATTCTCATTTACGTTTTTAAAAGATCGTCTGAATCATCATGAAGAAGTTTTAAGTTTTGTTGGTGGGAACAAAACTTAAAACAATCTGCGCATGCGTCATTTTCTCGTCCGGTCTGAAGAAGAGCTGTGCGATTTGTTATGTTTTGACACTAATGATCTTACGCTTTCTTATTGTATTCTTTTACTCATATTTTACCGTTTCATACTCGTGTAAACTCGTGTTTAATCCAGTAAGAGCCAAACCCAACCCCTTTAAATGGCCAGAATTGGTTGGCTCCTGCACACATTTGCACTATTGACCTTAATATTTCTGAATTCTGTTCTTTATATCCTGGTGCACAAGGACAAGAGTGTTTCATTAGCCTTTTCACCATCAAAAGTATGGCGTCATAGTTCAAATATCTCACACAGAAGTGTTCAATCCCAGAAGAACTTCAGTCATCATAATCTTCACTTATCTGCTGATCCCAGGACTCACACTAGTTCTCTTAGAGATCAGTGCAGCATAGCTGTGGAGAGCCGCATTGACTGTGGCCGTGACAGATCTTTGAGTCGAGCCAATTGTGAGGGGAGAGGATGTTGTTATGTGCCTCTACCTCAGTCTGGATTAAGAGGACCACCATGGTGTTTCTACCCACTCCGTTACCCAGGCTACAAAATGGGGCCCTTGTTGACCACAGAAAGGGGCCAAAGGGCCACGCTGACCCGTTCTGTACCCTCATACCTGCCCCGGGACATCCCCACATTGCAGCTAGATGTGATGGCCGAGTCTTTGGGTCGCCTTCACCTCACTGTGAGCACTTCTTTCAGCCTTTTCAATTAAAAAAAGTACAATTACAAATCAGATATTGTACGTTTTGGAGGAATTTAATACAGTCACATGATTTTTAAAAAACATTAACTCTTGAATCAGTCAGGTCTGAAATGAGCAAGTCATGTAGTGTATTCCAGCCTTTAGATGATCTATTCTTGCTTTATCTTGCTGACTTCACTTTGCCACAGCTGAAAGATCCAGCATCTCAACGATACGAGGTCCCCTTTGTGACGTCCAAATCCAGGGGCCACAAAAACACACAAAACGCCCTCTATGATGTTGACTTCCAACCAGATCCGTTTGGGTTTATTGTACGGCGTAAATCCAATGAGCGGGTTCTGTAAGTGTACTTCCGTTTTTCTTTTCTTGTATTGTATGTTTTGCTTTTGTGCTTCTTCTGTTTCTGGGTGTCAATGACAGTCCACAGCTCTATATGGTAAAAATGTATTTCCCCCTAGTTTGAATACTACAATAGGCCCCCTCCTGTTTGCGGATCAGTATCTACAGCTCTCCACCACCATGGCTTCCTCTGTGATTTCTGGACTGGGTGAACATTACACCCCCATCACGCTGGACCTCAACTGGAGCTCTGTTTCATTATGGAACAGAGACATGGCACCACATGTAAGACATTCACTCATTTCACATTCTCCTTTAACTTCCCCATTTATTCACAGCTGTTCTTAATGTTTTATATGGCCCTTTGTAGAGAAGTGCCAACCTGTATGGCTCCCACCCTTTCTTCCTAGTCCAAGAAGGTGATGGACAGGCACATGGAGTCTTTCTTCTCAACAGCAACACAATGGGTACAGAGTTTTGTTGTCTGAATTGGCTTCTTCCAATTTTGGATTTCACTAAAAGTTTTCAAATTTGCCAATTGTAGAAGTGTTTATGCAGCCCTCTCCAGCATTGACATGGGTGACCGTCGGAGGAATACTGGACTTCTACATCTTCTTAGGCCCCAGTCCTCAGAGTGTGATACAGCAGTACCATGAGGTTATAGGTATTAAACAACAGACAGTTCACATGCTGTATTAGAAATGTCATTTACCCACAGTGTAACTTATTGTGTTGTATCTTTGAGGTTATCCTATGATGCCACCCTACTGGTCGCTGGGCTTCCACCTCTGTCGCTGGGGTTATACGTCCACCAACGTCACAAGAACGGTGGTACAGCTCATGCGCCAGGCCAAGATCCCTCTAGTAAGTCAATAAAATAAATAATGGCTGTGTTTGGAAGATACTGAACAGTATATACCAGTGGTTCTCAACTGGGTGGGGCCACAGCACACTTCTAAGTAAACCTCAAGATTACTCGTTAAAATAATTTTATAAGTGTGATTTCTAGACTTGGAAAAGTCATGCAAATTAATACAATCTTAAAACTATATTTATAATGAATATTATGACGACGGGGGTCCTTGGAGTCAAAAAGGTATATGTGTGCTCGCTGCTATATTTTAAGAAGTGCTTTAAGCTAATAAAAACTGGTGTATGCTAAATTGTTGTCACATGACAATATCACCCAGTTATCAACTCTAAACATTTTTTATCCAATTTTTGCGTAAAATTGTTGTTTATATTGTTTCTGGTTTGTTTGTCATACTAGCAATGGAAGGTTAAGTTGAATACATTGCATTGTGGGATACAGTACCCAGTTTGATATGCTCTCTTAAAGTTAACATATGTGGTTTGAAATTGGTAAAATGTGCTTGGGAAAAATATATAATCAGAATATTGACATATTAATTATTCACACACAGTGTATAAATTATAACATAACATAGTATACTGCACAATGTAGATGTAGTGCTGTTGGTCATCCAGATATTGCAGAATATGCAGCATACATACTGTAAAAATGTAAAGTAGTATGCCATTTTATAAGAAGTAAGAAATAAGAAGAACAGTACATATATATATAACCTTCAGTTGACTTCTGTAGGATGTACAGTGGAATGACCTTGATTATGCGGACCAAAGAAGAGTGTTTACTTTTGATCCACAACGGTTTGGAGATCTGCCCCAGATGGTTGAAGAGTTCCATCAGCTTGGCATGAAGTATGTGCTCATTCTGGTACGTGGATAATATTCTGTGAGGGAGAAGATTTCATCCTTATTTGAACTTCATTGAGTGATGCTTGTGAGTTAAATATGTGATATCACAATATTTTCTATACTATATATATATATATATATATATACACACACATACACATTCACTGGCCACTTTATTTGGTACACCTAAGTTGCTAGTACCGGTTTGGACCCCCTTTTGTCTTCAGAACTGCCTTAATGCTTTCTGGGGTAGCTTTAACATTGTGCTGGAAACATTCCTCTGAGATTTTGGTCCATATTGACATGATAGCATCACACAGTTGCTGCAGATGTATCGTCTGCTCATCCATGATGCGAATCTCCCATTCCAGCACATGCAAAGCTGCTCTATTGTATTAGATCATACATACACACAAAAAGCATATTAGTCACAGTACACAAATAAGCACATCAGTGTTGAATAGCATTTGGTCTTTCTTGTGTTAGGATCCAGGCATCAGCAGTACGAGTCGTCCTGGTTCATACAAACCCTTTGATGATGGGCTGAAGAGGGGAGTGTTCATCACCAACTCCACTGGACAGATCCTAATTGGGAAGGTTAGCGCCACACATGGAATATTACCCTCACTAAAATTTAGTCGTGACTCGTGATAACGTCATATACAAGATCATTTTCTTTCTGCACCACTGTATTGTTAGTAGTATTGTAGTCATGATAGAATATGGTGGGGGGTATAAAGATTTTGCATGCATTTATATCCAGGTATGGCCAGGTCTAACTGCATTCCCAGATTTCACCAATCCTACAACACTGGACTGGTGGATGGACTGTATCAGAGCCTTTCACAATAAAGTACCTGTGGATGGACTCTGGATAGTAAGTACTTACAGAGTAAACTGTAAATAAACATACACAGGGTATTTTAAAAAGGTGACAAAACATGAATGTATGAATTTAAAGGGGCCACACTCTTTACCTACATTGTATTTTTTTCCCCTTTAAATCCTGAATTATGTTATGAAAATGCTAAGCAAAAAATAATTTAATGTATTTTTCTATATCATCTGGACTTAAAGGTATAGTTCACTTTAAACTATTTTCTTTTATATGTTTTAGCTTACTTCAAGGGCATCCAAGATGTAGGTGTCTTTGTTTGCACAGTATTTTCAATTTTGATATTTTTAGGTCAAACCATTTATGTCTGTCAGTCATTTAATGGAGGTCTATGGTCACCACCTCAAAGAGCATGCACAGAGAAGTCCAAATTAAACATGATTTAATGGCTCGTAAATGTAAGTACACCTTGATGGCCTAAGACACGAAACGAGC